GGGGGCTCAGTGATTTTGTTAAAGGATTTGAAGGTAGGTTCAATTTCTTTCTAGTTTCCGGGGTCCCTGCATTAAACATTTAAAAAATTCATGCTGTATTTAACATGTTGATAATACTTATAATATATATATATATATAAATGTATGCTTTGAAGTTTATTTTATAGGATATTGGTAAAATCTGAAATATATTTTTGGTAAAATGTTTACAATTTATTATTATTTATAAATAAACCAGCTTGAGAAAGATTACCAAGATTTTTAATAGGTCAGAATATTGGCTTTGATTCCTTAATTTATTATTTAATTATACCTACATGTATAAAGTTATAATTTTAAGATGGCCTATCTGCTGAAATAGTTTAATTTTTTTAAAGCTCAATTGTTATCTTTCTTTTTAGGGTAAATGGAAATAATCCTTAAAAGTATTATTAATTTCTACTAAAAGTACCCAGATAGCAAACTGACGTATGCTGACGTTAAAATGACGTTACCAAAGTCATTTCAACGTCATATAAACGTCAGTGTGCTACCTGGGTAAAGTCTTGAAAATGAAAATAAAGTCCCAACGCAGAAAATGCACTAATAAGGTCGTCTAGTAAAAATAATTTCGGTATTTATCTCTATTTTATTTCCTAAAAAAATAAGGAAAGCATTAATTTATGCTAATTGCGATATGTTTTTCTGATTTTTTTATAAACATTTAGGTTAGAGTGCTCCAATTGATGAAAATAATGGTGTTAATGATTTTTTTAAATAAAATAAAAATGAATGCCAAAATTATGTTCAAGTACCTACTCGACGACTAAAATGAAAATCCAACCTTTTAATGCATTTTTTCGCGTTGGGGCTTTATTTTATTTTCAAGACTTTACTTTTAGTAGAAATAATGCTTTTAAGATTTATTTTCGTTTATTTATACCATGGTGCAGCTCCATTTATAATAAAATTAAACTATTGCCGTAAATAGGCCATCTTAATATGATAGCTATAGCATATTATTATGGCAAATAAATATATTTAGGATCATATTAAGATAGCATAAGAGGATATTAGGATGGAATTAAGATGATCATAAAATAATAAATTTACCATTATAAGATTATTTATTTGCCATATATGTACCAATTTGGGATCATATTAAGATGTCATAAGAAGATATTTAAGTGATATTAAGATGATCCTAAAATAATATATTAACCCTTATAAGATATATATTAATGGCCGATATAAAAACTTTTGATGGTCTTATGATAATTGTATTAAGTTTGCCTATTGATGGTCACAAAGTATAGTTATTAAATTGAATCTATTAATGGTATTTAAACGGTCTTAATGTCCCCTATTTTACTGCGATATCTTAAATAAGGTTATTAAGAATCTTAAAGATGGTCTTAAATTATTTTTCTCGGTGTACGTTTAAATGTATAAAAACACCGTTATTATAACGTATAGTTTTAAATTTTAAACATCGGTCTTCTTCGGGTAGAACCGAACGGGTTCGTGACGACGCTTCCCATAATTCGTTGCAATGGCGTTCTTTTGCTGTGTGATGGCGTTTATGGCGGTGTTTCTAGATTGTGTGTTGTGATTTCTACTAGGTATTGGCTGTTTATAGACTTGTAATAGAATAAATTCAAGTAAGTAATTAGATTAGGTTTGTTTTGACTAATAGACTGTACCACACAAACAAAATTTACGGTTGCACTGATAATTGGGCGTAAACAAATCGTGAAAACAAGGATTTAAAAAAAAAATATTTTATAAAAACACATTTTTATTGTTTTTACTTTCCAAGGGATTTCTTTCTATACTTTCTAAATTTTATTTTATCCTCCCAAAGCCCTACATCAAAATTTTACAACAACCAAACTACAAAGTGAGGTTATCGTTTTTATTGTTATCTAGAAAAGCTTTTATTCCTATTTAACCGTGAATTTTTTTTATGTGGTGCTCATGAGCTCATATACCGTTCCTTCATTTGCAAGCTATACATAGCCTATGTCATAGGGAAAATACATTGTAGGTGGACCAGACAAGTTGAAGTCAGCGCAAAGCAAGGAATGTCTGAATTTCGAATTTACCGGCAGTGGACGTCCAATGGATGTCATTTGGACACTGAGACGTCCAGGGGATATCCTTTGGACGTCCTCTGGACATTTGTGCTGTAATTATAATATAGGTGAATAAAAATGTTTGGTTAAAAATTTTAGGTGTTTTAGTTTTTATTCCTGTCAGCCAAATTATGGCCAAATTTGGTCCTAGGACAGTCTTTAATAGACCATTATAGGACGGCCAAAGGACAACCAAAAGTGTCTACTTTGGAAGTCCTACGTGGTCTTCGGATATCCGTAGGACGTCCACTATGTCCTGGGTTGACGTCCTAAGGATATCCAGTGGACGTATGTGTGCTATCTGGGACACAAATGCTATTACCTGTCACAACCCTAGACCTATACCTAGGGTCACAACTTGCTTTAAATATAGGTATACCTAACCTTTTTATTAATAGCAAGCCCACTATAGTATTTCCAGGTCTGTTATTTTAAAAGCAATATCTGTATCCAAGAGATGACCAGAGACATATTCAAGGCAAATTCATTTTATGTCTTTTCTTCTTAAAATGCATTTATCAATAATTAGAATAACATTAGAATATATTTAGAATGATTTACTTCATTATTTCATTATTTGTATGTCAAAAGTAAGTAATATTTAATGACTATTTGTTTTAAAAAAATATATAAAAATAAATATAAGGTATTAAATTGTTATTTAACTAATATTTAGTAAATATTTAATTAAAAAAATGGTATAATAGATTGGGATTCATGATTTACCTTACGCTAAAGGTACGCATGGCTGAGCGCTCCACACTCTGCGCCCTCTATCTCAAAAACGATTAGACGTATAAAAAAATGTTTTAAACAAAATTTGTAGAGAATTTTATTCTCTACAACTTGTATAATGAATGCAAATACGATAGGAGGCAGAGAAAAGGAGATATTCTCAAAAAATTGATTTTTGCGACCTTTGACCTTGAATATCTAAGGCCGCTCACACGTTGGCATATGTGACTTTTGAGACAACATTTGCAATGCTAAAATAAAGGTTTGTACAAAAATTCAGCTTATTCCGTTAGATTCCGAGGTGAAATGCCTAGATGACTGGACTAACAGTAGTGTAGCTTCTTTAGCTGTTGCTTTATTGGCAGTATCTTTTCTTTTGGGCAATATCTAAGTATATATTTATCAATATTTTTGTAATAATTCGTATAGCTATATTTGACACGTCTATCAAAGTCAATACCAATTGGTTAACTATTACCTTAATATATTTATGTAAATCAAAATAGGATTTTATTATATAATTATGTTTTGTACGGTTTAATTGAGGAGCTTTTAATCAAAACCAAATTTGTCCACTTCTGGCAAATAATTATTACTACTTAAGTAGTGATCATTGTAGAGGAGGATTATTCACACATACATATAACCACTTTAAAAGTGGTCAAAGACCATTATTTTAAATGGGACTTAAAAATAATCATATTAAATGAAATTTGGTCATAACCAAACATGTTTGTTCTCTAAATTCAATTCTACAAATTCTAAAAGGTTTCTGAATACAGTGGCTTACTGCCTATAGGCATGTTAGAAAAACTAACAGGATGTCTTATATAACAACAATTTAATGTATTTTTATGTTTTTACGCTCCCCTGAAAATTTGATCAAATGGATAAATTTGTTTTTGACCACTCACTCCTGAATTATTTATTTTATGTTTATTATTTGTATGGCCTAAGATAGTATTTTACTGTTTATGTAATATTTATATTGAAAAATATATGTTAAAATATTTTAATTATTTCATTTATGACCTAACAATGATTAAGTATATTTAAATATAAATGTATTTTATGCACAATGACATTATAATATGACAATTATAACAAAAATTCTTTGACGTAAACGTCTTTTTATAGCCCGCGGGCGTTATTATGACCCAGCGGGCTATAATGAAACGTCAAAAATTAAAAACAACAATGTTACACCATTTGATATATTCGAAGTAAGTTTTTTCGTATAAAGATTTTAATTTTTCCGGCAGCAGGCCGCAATTTTTCGCCTTTTCAGCTGCTTCCTCAATTTCATTCATCTTTAAACTTTAAAACTGACTGATGTCGGTTGACATTATAATATGACAATTATAACAAAAATTCTTTGACGTAAACGTCTTTAAAAACAATAATATATTAAAAATATTAAAATATAAAACGTGCATAAAGTTTTGTATGCATTGCTGGCATAACTGGTTTTTATGGTCCTACGACGCTTTTCTAGCCCTCGCGCTAACGCGCTCGGGCTCGAAATAGCGCCTCGGACCATAAAAACCTTATTATGCCCTTAATACATAAATAACTATTAAGAGCCATTTTACAATTTGGAAAAAAAGCAATGTAATGTAATGTGGTGTGGTCTATGGTCACATATGTCGTGCCGTTATTTTTTAAATACTTTTAATCGACCAATATATATATATAAATATCGGCCATCTTTCGTCGGCCCAACATGTTACCGACATCTTTTACCGAGATGTCAGAACGCCGCAAACGGGCCGACCTCGACCCGTGGAGTTCCGTTTTCAAACCGAGAAATTTTTTTGACCGGGTAGTTGCCCATAAAGGTTGTGTGGATTGTGGTTTAGATTTTGATGTCAACGCCGTTGATTCAAAGGATTGATAGTCGTTTAAAATTCCGTGTCCGTCACTACTATAATTATTAACATTTAACAAAAAATGTACGCAGCGCCATCACTATAGTTTGGCCATAAACATATGATTTAAAAACAATATCCAAATACACAAATTTATAGGTTTTGTGTTCTAGTTTTGTGGAAAACTAGATTATAATATAATCTTCTAAAGAAAACTTATTTCGTTTAAGTTGATTAGGCTTTTAACCACGAGATGGCGCTCTGTTAATTTGAAAAAAAAATAATTTGAAGTTATATTTACAGCTGTTTACATTACAGTAATTTAAAACCAATGACACGTTGGAACTTAAAGAACTAGAGAAATTTCTAGAACAATATTGAACAACATTGCCGATTTACTGTTGGTTAATTATTTTAACAAGTTGAAAGGTTATGTGTGGGTGTCAAAAGTGACAACATTCTTGCATGAACCAATAAAAAGTCACCACGCGTTTTATTATCGGAATTAAAGAGAGTAAAGCGTTTTAATTTATTATACTGGGTATTAGGAATTTAAAGTGGTGAGTCAAAATGTTCAAGGAAATCGTGATTTTGTGTGCAGTTGTCGGCGTTTTGGCTTTGCCAAAGGAAGAGAAAAAAGACAGGATTTATGAAAGGGAATTAAGTGATAAGGAACATTTTGAAAATGAACATCATAATCCTGAGTATGATCACGAGGCTTTCCTAGGTGCTGATGCCAAAACTTTTGATAGCTTACCCCCTGAAGAAAGTAAACGAAGGCTAGGGTAAGTTTTTATAGTTTTAATTATATTTAATTTATTAACCTAATACTTTTTTTCAGGCTGATAGTAGATAAAATAGATAATAACAAAGATGGTTTTGTATCACGAGAAGAATTAAAAGATTGGATAAGATTCACTCAAAAAAGATACATTGCCGAAGATGTAAACAGACAATGGAAAAGTCAAAACCCTGATGATGCTGATAAAGTGAATTGGGATACCTATGAGGAAATGGTTTATGGATTTTTAAAGAATATGGACCCTGTAGAAGCTGAAAAAGAACATGAAAATGGTAAGAGACATTGACATTAATTGATAAAATAAATTGTAATTTTAAAGTAAAAAAATAAAAATATTTGTTGTTTTTGAGATACAGTGTATAAGGTATCTTCTTAACCATTTTTTTAATCAAAAACAAGGTAGAAAACAATTTAGTACAAAAATGCCATATCTATACAGGGTGTCCCAGAACTCGCGACACATAGAAAACCGGAACGTGCCGAAAGTAACGTGAAACACATATTTGAAAATTAAAATTGTCTAACGCAAAGGATAAGCGAGATAAGAATAAAAAACGATAGCCAATCCCAATAGATGGCCATAGGGAATTCTTTAAATTGCTAGGATACTTAGGTTGCATTGTTGATAATAAAAAATATGTAAAATATTTGGTCCACTGGAATCCAATTCATTGTGACACTGCTGTCAAACTCCTGTCATTAATATTATATTAGGTTATAAATTAAGTTATTATAAATAATGTTTTCCTTAGATGATTATACTGAAATGATAATTATTTATTTATTTAGTGTGGGTGCAACGCCAGGGAGACAACGCGAGTTTTTTCCCAGCCCTTTCCTAATCGTTATTTTAAAACATTGGCGTTCTGAAGTATAAGTCATAGATTAATAACCTCATTTTTGAAAGCTTTTGACAACTTAGTAAATACAGTTGGCCAAAAGATTTTTAAATGTTTTTAATACAACAATGTTCTATCGTCTGCTAGCAATTTTTAAAGCTCTTACGTTTACCCTGTATATTAGGGTGCTTCAAAAAATATAAATTTTTTTTTTCGCTCTTACCCTCTCAAATGTTTCTATTTAATATAAAAAAAAAATCCTCGCCAAATATGGGCGTTCCAGCTCAACTCTAAGAGGTTGCTGTTTTTATTTTAGTTTTCCATTTAATTAACATGGGAAAAAATAATTTTATGTTTGTAATTTTATACCTCTGTATTAAAGTAACTTATGGTAATAATCATTGCAGTTTCTTATATAAAATGTAACGCCCTACAAAAAAGTTCTCTTATTATTTTTCGATAAATTGATTTTTTTCTAGAGTTATTCCAGGTCAAAGTTTGATTAACATCAAATTTTTTGTTTTTTTTTTAATTTTATGGTACAATCAGCAGACGGGAGGTGAAAGGGGGCAAAATAATGCAGCGGGGGGGGGGGGGGGGGCAAAATGCGGTACCCAAAAAATTTCGTAAACATTTTTTTTAGTTTGTTTTTTCGGTTTCAAAATTATTTGAAAATTGAGTCACAAGTTCACGCTTTTAATCGAAAATAATTATTCTGAACAGCGAGAAAAAGGATGGTACAATTTTGGAAAACTTTTCATATGCTCATTTTTTGGGTACCCCATTTTGCCCCCCCCCCGCTGCCCCCTTTCACCTCCTGTCTGCTACCATAAAATTAAAAAAAAAAACAGAAAATTTGATGTTATCAAACTTTGACCTCGAATAACTCTAGAAGAAATCAATTTATCGAAAAATAATACGAGAGCTTTTTTGTAGAGCGTTAAATTTTATATAAGAAAATGCAATGATCATTGCCATAAGTTACTTTGATACAGAGGTATAAAATTCCAAACATAAAATTATTTTTTCCCATGTTAATTAAATGGGAAACTAAAATAAAAACAGCGACCTCTTAGAGTTGAGCTTAGACGCCCATATTTGGTGAGGATTTTTTTTATATTAAATAGAAACATTTGAGGGGGTTGAAGCACCCTAATATACATATATACATATATCGATGACTTTCTGCCAAAGTATCGCAAGCAACATAACTCAAATTTCGGAAATTAAAAACATTTTTTGTTTTAAAGTCTGTTTTAAATTAAATATAGCCTAAAGGTTTTATAAGAAGTAAATAGCTTATAATTTTAGCTATTTACGTGTTATAAAACCTATAGGTTATAATATAACCGTTATATGTATATGTGTATATGATTTAAAACAGACTTTAAAACAAAAAATGTTTTCAATTCCCGAAATTTGAGTTATGTTGCTTGCGATACTTTGGCAGAAAGTCATCGATATACATGTATATATCATTTTAATGAAGCAGAAAACAATTTAATAAATAATTAATAAATAATAATTTATATATTTACAAAATAAATCCATACTTTTTGCGCCATTAAAAACAAGAATATTTTTGCCAAAATATCATCAGATATTTTCTCACCACAGGGTGGCTTGTTCTCAAATGGACTGCACCATAGGAGATTGACCCCCCTTATGTGCCAACAAAGATATAAAAAATATGACTTCACTACACATACAGTTTAAAAGTATACAATAAAAAAAAGTTTTAATATTATTTATTAAATGTGCATAATAGCACAAATTCTTTATGAACTTCAAATTACAAATTGCCTGTTGCAAGCAAGTTTCATACTATACCTAGTTTTGCTGACATTGGCTTTATCTAATTAAGTGTAACCCATACTTTTGAATGCGCATTTAAGGGTTTATTACTTTAATTCCTTAAAAGACTTTAATGATTCAAGTTTAATTACTTAAAAATTTTTTGATTATACCTTGAACAGATATTATCTTGGAAAAATCGGTAAAAATTCAATATGCCCTTAATTTTGAAACAACAATTTTTTAACTTTCTTAATTAATTCACAAATAAAAATTACCAAAGAGCTGGCCAAAATTGCTAATAATAAATGAACTAAAACTATATGTTTTATATAAAACTGGTCAATACCCACTGGAAAAGAAACCTTACAAAATATTTTATGATTAATGTAATTTTTATATCTTCACTATTCTATTCTATTGCTGCAATGTTCGCTGACTGCAAATAAAATATTTTTTTAGCAATAACATAATAAAATTTTATTTATTTTATTTTTATTTATTTTACCTTTAAGTTAGAGTTGGCACAGGAATCCCCGACCCAGAAAAACCCACCCGAGTTTTTCTTTTGATCCGTAAAAGCCTAGTGTTTTGTTATTTTTTTAAAAATTTTCCTCACATTTTAATAAAATTTCAATAAAAATTCACACAATATTTATGGAAAACAAAAAAAAACATATAAACTAGACATTTAAAACAAAAAAAAAAAAGAAAACTAAGAATATACTTAAAAACATGTTCTATAACATTAATCTTGTATCTACGTTATCAAAAATTAAATATTCCCAAAATCAAAACAAAATCCCACTGAAAAAACTAGATAAGAATAATGCTAAAAAAGCGCTCGAGCGCTTCTAAAAATGCTCGAGCATTTTAAAAAGTGCTCGATATAACCTGGTTATTTAAAAAAATGCTTGAAAAGTGCTCAGCCATTTTAATAAGTGGTTGATATTTTGTTTAAATCATTTTTTTCTTATTAAACATTAATAATTAAAGCGTTTAAAAATGCTCGAGCATTTTTGAGCATTTATGAACACTTAAAAGTGCTCAAGCATCTGCCATCTCTAGAAAAACAAATCCGGGTTAAAACGGCTTTTTCCAAAGCATTTTTCCCGCGGAAAAATATAGCAAAAACCCGTTTTTTTCGGAAATATCCTGTGGGTCGATGTTTTTTAATTTTGCTCGGGTTTTTGCCAACCCTAAAAATTATCCAAATTCATTATTTTTTTTTAATAATGGCAATTTTCAAACTGCAATTATATTACACGAACAATTTTTGTCCGATTTTAATAAAGTTTACTAAATTTGTAGCTATAGTATAGATTTTTTTAGGGTTTTCATACAAAAATATGATGAAAAGAGACAGAAGACGCTGGGCCATTGCAGATCAAGACCAAGATGACGCTTTAACCAAAGAGGAGTTCTCAAATTTCTTGCATCCTGAAGAATCCGATCATATGAGAGATGTGGTTGTCTTGGAAACTATGGAAGACATTGACAAGGACAAGGATGGAAAAGTATCTCTAAAAGAGTACATTGGTGACATGTACAGGACTGAAGAAGGGGAAGAGGTTAGATTTTTATTCTTCTTCATTGTTTCCAATTTAATATTTATTTATTTTAGGAACCAGAGTGGGTAAAAGGTGAACGTGACCAGTTCAACACCTACCGTGATAAAGACGGTGACGGTTTCATGGACGAAGAAGAAGTAAAAAATTGGATTTTACCTCAAGATTTCGATCACGCTGAAGCCGAAGCTCGTCATTTAATCTACGAGGCTGATAACGATGCCGATGAGCAGTTAACCAAAGATGAAGTTTTAAACAAATACGATATTTTTGTCGGTTCTCAAGCCACTGACTTTGGCGAAGCTCTTAATAGACATGATGAGTTTTAAGCCTTATAACCTATAGGTTAAATTTTTTTAGGCTATAATGTGCAATTCGGTTTGGATCCTATAAATAATACTCTAATGTTTTTTGGCATTGTAATGTTTTGAATTTTTTCTAATAAGTTTCTATTAAGTCGTAAAAATTGTATATAATTTGTGCCAGTAATTTCCTTATAAAGCCAAACTAAGACTGCATTAAAGCTATTTGATATTGACATACCTTAAGTTTTTAAACTAGTATTTCATGGAATATTTTCCCACTGCCATTTCATTTAGATTTAAATATCCTGATACCAAAAAAATGAACTAAACTAGTTTTAAGAATCTCTTCCTTAATTTAGGCAAATTTTTACTATTTTTTAAACGAATTAACATTTTCTGTATTTTATACAATAAAGGAAATTTTATATAATTAATTGTTAAGGATTTATATAATCTTGTAACTAAAATGTGCCATTATATTAATGCTACTTAAATGGTGCTTGTTGTTTTATAAATAAATTATAAATTCAAAGAAACTAATTTAATTTACTTCTTTATAAAGTGTTTCAAAATAACATGTTAAAAAGTTTAGAGAACATTCCTAAACAAGTTTAGGTGAACATAAATATTTCTAAGGTAAGGATAAAAAAAAATAAAATATAGTTCTTTATGTCAAAAGGCTGAGAAATGAGTTTTTCAAAAAGAAACTGTTGAAAAATACAGCATAAATGCGACACATAGAAATACATTTATCTTTAAGCCATTGGCGTCCCTTGCAATTTAGCCGACATGTTTTTGTTTTACTTTTAATTAATATTGGGTTGATCAATAAAACATAAAACTGCTACGCCACTGTAAGGTACACCTTGAAGTGTTATAAGGTCTAAAGGGTTTTTTACAGCCTAGGAGGTTTTTTGATTAAATATAATAGTATATTGTGAAACTAGTGGAATAAAGGAGATTCCTCAAGCGTGGAATTTGCCGCACGAGCGTAGCCAGTTGAGTAACGCGAGTGGAATCTCCTCTGTCAAGCAACTTTAACCTCACTCTTTTCCAATTTTTAATTAAAGCGAAGTAAAATTTCGCCCACCGGTTAAAGTTAGGAAATAAAATGGTATATTGTGCGACTAGTGGGAGATAGGAAAGATTCCTCGAGCCTGGAGTTTACAGCACGAGCGTAGCAAGTGCGGTAACACCCGAATGTAATCTCCTCTTTTGACAGCTGTCAAGCAACTTTAACCCCACTTGTTTCCAATTTTAACTTAAAGCTAACTTCAGCCCGTGGGCGAAGTAAAATTTTGCCCACCAGTTAATGTTAAGAAATGAAATGGGTGTTGAATACACTTATTTTATTCAACACCCATATCATTTATTAATTTCGTCGAACCCCAGATAACAAAATGATGTCACTGTGAAATCACAATGAGCGCATTTTCGATCACGCGTGAGACTCATGTGTATAACATATGCGTCCTCACATGTAGATCACAGTGAATTCACGCGTGAGAAATAAATATCACAAAGCAGTCATAGTTATATCATGCGTGATATTTTAAGATAATTTTTAGGTTCTTATTTATACAAAAAAATATAAAAATCAAGTAATTTTTTTATTTATATCACAAATTGACAGTTATTTTTCATCGAGAAAAGGTTTATTCCATGACTTATATTTCTTATTTGATTCTTCAATTTCAGATTCAGAATCTTCCAACCTATCTGATCTTGACTCAGAATCATCGTATTCTGAGGTAGCATCAAAGTCACATGACATTGCTTCAGAATCAGAATGTGCAGAATCTGACTTTGATAACGGAGTTGAATGCTCTTTTTTCTTATTAGATGTTGATTTTGACCAAGAATTCGTTTTTTTCATGCGATTCCGTTTTTTTGGGTTTATCTCATTCTTGTTTAAACTATTCTTAAATCTTTGTTTTGTAGCTCTAAACACTTCTAAAAGTTTGGTTTTGAATTTTTCTTTTGTTAAGGGACCAGGGTAAGAAGTAACTTCTACCGCAATATCTGCAAGACAAACAACATGGTATAATATATTTGACTATATCTTACGTACTATATAGAATATTTGCTGTGATTGTCGCAGCACATAACCTTAAAACCATCAACTCGTAATCCAGCGTTTTCATTAAATTATAATTATTCCACTTACCTGAATTTAGTACGTATTAAAAAACTCGTTTTCAAGGGTTCCTTTTGTTATTTTTAGAGATATTTTAATATGTACTGTAAATAGGCACCATAAAACCATCAAACAAATGCACACAGAATTCTGATAAAGATTGCGCGGCACGTGTTTGTTATCAGCGTTGCCAGGTCGCTTTCATGAAAAAAGCGGGAGATTCAAATAGAAAATGATGGTTTTTATTTTAAATACTCCGCCATGTATTTTTAATATTAAACTTTAACAAACAAAACAAAACATAAAAATATGCCATATAAACTTAATTAAACATTGTCAAAAATAAGAATCTTTGGTAACAAAAAATTAAAATATTTAACGGATTCTTTATCTGAATCATGGCGAATCATAAATTGTTTTATAAAATCTATTTCGCATTGTTTTATAAAATCTATTTTGCAAATAAAAATTAATTTTTTATTCCAATTAGCCTTTTGGTGTAAAGACATCCCTTAATTGCCTTGGTACCCAATCAATTACGTGGTTTTGTCTTTATGTTATTTATCAATTTTATTTATAAGGAGAACTGCAACAAACGGTAGATTTGCCGCTATAACGGGAGACCTGGCAAAGTGTCGATCATTGACAAGACTGTTTTGCGGACTTTGCGCTGATACAATTATGCGCGTGCGCCCCATGCGCACGTGAGTTTTGGTTCCAATGTTTTTAAATTTATTTCATGTCACGCATGAGGAAAATATGTGATCACCGTGATATCACGTGTGACATTTATTCTTAATATTTTTAAAGTTATTTTCATGTCGACATTAATCAATGCAATGCCTAACAATAGTTAGGCAATGTATTGACATGATATAACTTTATATAGGTAAAGAATAAATGGCACACGTGATATCACGGTGATCGCATATTTTCCTCATGCGTGAATATATAGAATAAATATCACACGTGATATCACGGTGAACGCATATTTTTCTCATGCGTGAAAATCATGTTGTGAATAAAACGTGAAAATCACGTTTGTTATCTGGGACTTCACTTCACCCCCGGGCTGAACTTCATACTCGAGTACACGGGAAAGTACTCGAGTACATTTTATCAATCTTAAATGTATCAAGTATAAGTACATTCAAATTAAAGTACTCGGGACTGAGTACCGAGTACACTGAAAGTACTTGGAGTACAGTGTTTAAGTACTTGTACTCGAGTACCGCACAGCTCTGGGCTGAAGTTGGTTTTTAGTTAAAATTGAAAAAAGTACCTAAGGTTAAATTTAAATTTCTTGACAGTTGTCAGATGTCAGTTAAAATATCAAATAAAATTGGCTTTAAATTCCTTGCGGTAGTTGAATAAAATATTGTGTGCGACTATTGGTCAAAAGCGGAGATTCTACTCGCGTGTTTCGGTTTCATTAGAAATTAATGTTTTACCTTAAGAAAAAATGCATTTTAAGATTTTTACTTTACCTTACAATACGCATGCGTTTGGTAACATGATGTGCCAATAATTGATTATCACTACAATTAATTTGTTAATTGATTGTTGACAATCTCAATTTTACATCACACTATAGACAATGATTGACAGTTAAAATTTAAAATTAGATCATAGATTATGTCTTAGCATTTCTGTTAGATATTGACATGTATTTCTTTAGTATTGTAATATATGCGATTCTATAAGAAGGTGACTAGCGTTTTATCACCCAGCTGAGTGGTTATAAGGAAGGTCAGTGGTTAACTTAATCACCAAAACAAAATTGGCATTTTGTAATGAGTAAGTGGTTATATATTTAACAACTATAACCTAAAAAGAGTTGTTATATTTATCACCAGGTTATGGTTAGTGTTTATTAATTTAGTGACTGTTATTAGTAAAATTTGTATGACGAAATGGCGATACATTTGCTACCCGTTCACTTCTTAAATATTTTTGAAGAAGGTTTAAGAAGGTATGTAGCAAAAAATTGATCATTACCTAAAAAACGTTAATTTTAGGTACCGCTTGCAACTTGATTTATAAAAAAATGTATAGATTCCTACTTTCATTAATTTGAAAATTTTGAATTTTCATTTTCTTCCGGTTTTTCTTGAATTTCTTATTCCTCTGGCATGTCTTGGCAGCCTTGCACTGACACCCATCCCAGTAAACCCATTAATTTTTCTTCCAGTTCAGTTAAAGGCTTTGCAGAATTGGGTCCCTTGCCTTTTTACGCGTTCGAGACTTCCACTCTACAAAGTACCTTTGCCAGTCTTTGGCACACTTTTTTGGCCCCGATAATAAATTTAAAGATTTTCCTATGGATTCCCATAATATAAGCAACTCTCCCACCTTGAGAGGATGGGGCTTCATGGTGAGGACGGTTTTATTTTGCGGTAATGATAACAAATCAACCAGTTGGGACATTTGATCCGCACTGACTTTTGTTCCTCTATGTCTTACTTTCTTTTCTAACGTCGTCAAGCTATAAAAATAGAAGATGAAAAACCCTCAATGTCAAAACTACCCAGTTTACCTTTTTAAGTCATGTATGGCACTCGACACACGCAATTACGTTCGCCTCAGAAATACAACACATAAGTTTAAACAGTGTCCAAATAGTATTTATTCGAATTAACAGATCTACATTTGAACTACTTTTAATAACGCGTGATTACGAAAATTAAACCAGTGACGGTTGTTAACGTTTTACTTATGGAATAGGAAAATATCGAAAAGTCATTATGCGGGTCATAAACTGTTAATTTCTAATAAAGTTATATCATAAACACTTCTGTAGTAACTTTTTTATAGAATCGGGCCGAATCATATCATACAATGTCATATAATCCATTAACTTTTGCAAGCCCAAGCTAACTGGGATTTTTTTATAAGCTTGTTACAATGATAGTTAACTAATTAGGGAGCTGGTCATTTGCTTGCGTGGCAGAAGTTGAAAATAATGAAGTTTGGATTATAAAAGTCACTAATGACAACTTCTGCCATACCATTATTGCTGCCCTAGGGTCTGTGGTCTGGACATTGGGAGACAATGGACAAATTTCGCGGTTCCAGTAAAAATTTCAGGCTGGTTCTACTATTACAGATCGTCAAGTTGGTAAGGTATCAAATAGTGGTAGTGAAATAAGTTTGAATTTAGCTGTAGAAGAGGTAAGTTTTTGTAGGCCTCAGGGTTTACACGGCGGTGTTGCTATATATTGTAGAGAAAATGTGCAGTGGCGTGAAAGAGAAGATATTGC